AGTTATAAGTTGTTTTTGCTGGGCATTGTATTATTTGCAGGGATTAAGATTACCGTGTGTATCTGAGCTGGAAATAGCAATCAGCTGTGCACACGTTTCCCGGTGAACAAGTTCAAAAAGGCACAATAATATAACGGGATGAATTCTGACGCAGTCATCAGTAAAATATAATACAGAATACTATTATTTGACCCAAAGAAATATATCCTAGCATTGTGTGATTTTAGTTACAGTTTTTGCTCTATAAATAAATTAAGATTACCGTGTGTATTTGAGTCGGAAATAGCAATCAGCTGTGCACACGTTTCCCGGCGAACAAGTTCAAACATGCACAATAATATAACGGGATGAATTTTGACGCAGTCGTCAGTAAAATATAATACAGAATACTATTATTTAACCCAAAGAAATATATCCTAGCATTGTGTAATATTAAATACAGTTTTTATGTAAAATATATATAATCAACACTAAAGTTATACGGACCCTCATGAACGTGGTAAGCAGTTGTACGCACATGGAATGGGGTAAAACACGGAAGCCATTTAAATTCACACATTTTTACCGATTTTACTGTAAATTAGCAGTCAATGGAAAGCGGAAATCAGTTAAGTGATTGTTGAATGGGGTAAAATAAGCAAGCCAGTTTGTTGCTACAATAAATATGATATTTAGAGGGGCAAAATATATTATGCATTTTCTGTCAACTACACTTCGTTTCGATCCGTGAGTAGACACAATATATATGACCGTGAAAAATCTTTGAATAATGTGGACCAAAGTTATAATTATTGGTAACTGCCAGTGGTCTGTGTTTGCCGCGATTAGGACCCCATCGCGGGGGATCGACTTATGCACGAAACATACCATTTTGACACTGATTTTAAGGGTCAAGTTTGGGGGTCGTCTTATCCATGGGGTCGTCTTATAGACGGTCATATATGGTAGTCCTTCCCAAGCATCTGTTGCCCATGCCTGAGGATCCGGAATCGGAGAGACGAATTTTGGTAGTTGCTTGTTGAACTTTGTCTATCAGGTCTATCAGTGGAGATCCTGTTGTCCGTATAACGAACCGGAACGCTTCTGGGTGTAACATCCACTCCGTCGGGGATGGTTGTAGTGGACGAGATAGGGCGTCTGATATGACATTCCTTGCTCCTGGAATGTGGCATGCCTTCATGTAGATGTTCAGGTCGTCGACTATGCTGAACAGGAGAAAGCTGAGTTGTAGCAGACTTGTTGATCTTGTTGATCCTTGTTTGTTGATGTAGAACGCTACTGTGGAGTTGTCCGTGTGGACCATGAGCCTTGCGTTCTTTGGTACGCTGGACCAGTGTTGTAAAGCGTTGATCACTGCTTTCATCTCCAACAGGTTGATGTGCAGACTCTGATCCTGACTCGACCACTTCCCTGCTGCCACCGTTGTTGAGGTGGGCACCCCAGAGTAGCGATGCATCTCACGTAGAGATGAGTATTGCAAACCGGCTCTGACAAAAAGGTTCCTCCGCAAACATTCGACTTCAGAGTCCACCATAAGAGGTATGGTTTCAGGCTGTCTGTTAGAATCAGCGGATCGAGACTGTCGAGATGGGCATTCACAAATATTTGTAGTGGGTGCAGTTGTAGTCTCCCTCTGCAAGTCATGTCTTGAGCTAAGGTGAGTAGACCGAGCATGCTTTGCCAAGCACGTAGTGTCAACAGAGAGCATTGCTTGAGATATCACATGTTGTATCTTGACCCAACGATCCTCTGGGACGACCGTGTGATTCTGTGGTGTGATGAGCAATATTCCCAGAATTAAAGATCCTGTTTTGGTTCCAACTCTGATTAGGAGATTACTAGCCATCTACTGCAATCATGTCCTACGCTGTAGGCAAGTGGATCTAGGAACCCTTCCCATGTCCGTCATGGAAACGAAGAGATGATCGATTCTGGAATCATGGCTTGAAGCTTGTCTCATCAATCTTCCGGTAATATGTAATGAAGATGTTGTCACCAGAATCCGAACAATGTGCAGCGATGATGCATAATACGTCGTCTCTAGATCAGCAAAAATCTATGATGTACTGGGACTGCCATCGATGCGAAGTCTATTTATAGTCGACTGGCTGCCGCGGGCAGAAACCGTCTAACGCTTGTCGCTGCAAGTCCCCAGATAACCAATATTAAATCTCAAACCCTGATGTATCATGAAGGGCTCCGTATGATGAAATCTGCTATCGTTGAACGGCGGGACATGCTGACTCTGATTATAATCCTCCCCGTGAGTGCCTGCTCATAGGTTGATGAAAGTCCAAGTTGGAAGATCCATATCTGCGCAGTCTGTAGAATCCTGGAGAACGACTGGATCTACTTCTGTGTTAGAATCCTTCCTGCTGAGACGCTGAAACTGCGTGGAGGCTCCATCGTGGACTGCTAACGCTAAGCTGGCGTTATAGAATCCTCCAGGCTTCTAACTGCTGATACTTCTGACGGTACAGATCTTCGTGAACGTAAACGTTCGTGCAAGCCTTCATCCAAGAGAGCTTGCAAAGCTAATATTCCTTCGCGCAGGGTGACTGTCATCGGAGGGGTCTGCTATGCTGAGCTGACCTTAGTAGAGTTCTCCAGACTTCTAATTTCAGACGGTGAAGTTGGACATTTCCCTATCTGAAGATCCATAATGTCGTGAGTCTCTGTATGTAGATCTGTATGTAGAGCTGCGTGCAGGTGAATGGTCCCGGTGTGACCGTGTATTCCTCCTGGAGTCTTGAGATATATCTCTAGGCCTTCACGAAGGCTGATTGACGTAATCTCCCCTCTGTGAGATGTGGAGTGCCTGCGCGCAGTCCGACGGTGATGACGATCCATATCTGTTCTGGAGAGCAGCTTCAATCTGCTTCTGTGTGGAGAATCTAAGGCTGAGCTGGCGTTAGAAGCGTTGGGACTTCTAGCTTCAGTCGTTGGCGATCGTCAGGTGGCGTTAGGCTTTCCTCTTCATGTGCCAGAGGCTGCTGAACCTTCCGCGCAGGCTTGTTGGCGATGAAGTGGTCTTCGTCAGCGGCTTCGCGTGGCGGCTAATCGTTCCATCATCGACATCATCTGATCTGTAAACTGTTGCATAAACAGCCCCAGGTTGAAGTTCTGCGACGTATGTTGAGACTGCTCCGGAGGTACAATATCGGCAGTGAAGGATCTCGTCTTCTGCGTAGAGCTGTGAAGTCTTAGGAGCTGTAGACTTCTTCTGCGCTGAAGAAGATCTTGTCTTCTTCGTCTGTGATGAAGACAGCTCTGTTGATGACGATCTCTACTTAATCGAGACGGAATTCATCACTGGAACAGCGACCTGCCCTCGTAAAACGCTCGTCAATTCACTGGAATTATGAACCTCAGCAGCTGTAGTTAACACACGATTATCAGCGCAATCACTCGATTTACCAGACATGACTTGTGAATACCATCTTATCCAGTCCTTTGCACGTCTATGAAGAGAATAAAGGTAGTTATTAAATTCAAAAGAACTTAGTTTCTGACAATGTTTACAGCGAGAGCTGGAAGAACATGTAGTAGTGCAATCAGGACATAATATATACGGGTCAGCCATAGACAGGCGGTACCTACAATGAATACAAGTTTTCATCAATTTGTAAACCAGATGAAAAACAAGGCAAACAACGTATAAATTAGACATAATATCAAAACATTTGATAATATACAATCCAAAAACTGTATACAGCTGCCATTTAGATGTAAAAGGTCCAAAATAGAAAAGGATATGTGCCGTATAGGGACCCAGGTTCTCTCACAACCGTCCTCAAGGGCGAAGAAGGAGAGATTTACAAAACATGGCCGGTCAGGTGACCAAAAGGGCACCAAAGGGGCAAGGGAGGTAACTCATGGGTGAATGGTGATTTTACGTCCGCTTTTTAGAAGGGAACTTCAAGGGATTTCAAGTGTTCCACTATCATTCGCAAGTAGAAGGAGACAAGCATTTAGCATGAATCAGGATAAGGAAAAATATAAAAAAATGAAAGTAAAAAAAGTAATCTAATCAGAAACACGTCCTAATATTGAACATAGTGAAACCAAAACAAGGAACATACTTCATTATATATAATCTGATGGGCAGTGTGCGAAATAGTTTCCAAATTTTGCTAGAAAGTCGGGCTGGCTATGCCTGAAAGTTACTAGCCAAAAAAATAACTCACTAGCCCGAAATTTGAATGTAGAAACAAAGCTGCTGATATGATGAACATTTTATCAGGCCATAATCTTGCATGATTTAAAAGTGTATTATAACTTAACAAGTTGGAGGGAATGATATATTTACAAAATGACCGCATGAAAATTCACTAGCCAGTCAGGCCAGTGACAGAGGAGATTTACTGGCCCGACAGGAACTTTACTAGCTACGGGCTAGCGGGAGAGTGGCTATTTTGCACACTGCTGATGGATCACTCATTCTTATTGCCAGTGTTCTCAGGTAAAATTCTACTGTTAAATCCTCATGTAACTGACATTTTAAAATGTAACGAGGGAAGGTGGTTGGGATTTGAATTACGTCAGCGATTATGTCAACTGTGTAACAATGGAGTTGAAGATGAGTATCATTTTATCCTTGTATGTAGATACTATGGGAATTAAAGTCAGCATTATCTATCATGTATGTATCACCATGATGTTAATATTCACAAATTTAGACAGCTAATGAATTCAAAGTGTAGTGATGCATTGAATAATTTATGTAGATATGTTTGTCAAAGCATAATCTTAAGAGAACAATATGTTCGATATCTGTAGCATATATAACACATCAATGTACATTGTATGTAATTCATGTTCGATGTAAACGTATTATACTATGGCCTTAATACAAATAAACAAGTTGACTTGACTTGACTTCGCTAATTCCTCATCTTGGTGACCCAACAAAATGTCATCATAAAGAATATCGCTCTTCATATTTCGCAATTGGCCAAAGCCCTTCTTTGTGGAACTGTTGCCGTGACAATGTATCTTACCTTCTTGGTGATTCCATGCGACATCAGCGGCCGAGTAGTTGAGGTTGGAGTTCTTGGCTTTCCCCACCCTGAGGTTCAAACGCTCCTCGAAGTGGCCATCTTCTATAGCTAATATCCGAAACACTGAAAACACGACATTGCAAGATCAGATGAAATGATCATAAGAAAATTTTAACAAACATATTCTGTTATGTACAGTCAGACATCAATGCGTTCAAGTTGAAGGATACTATGTAAATGCTTTGAGTTATCCGAGGTTTGACATAATGGCAAAATGATTGACTAAATAAGGAATATGCAGGGATCAAGCTTTAAATTTAAGTTTGAGTGAGTGAGTGAGTTTAGTTTTGCGCCTCACTTGGCAATATTCCAGCTATATAGCAGCAGTCTGTAAATAATCGAGTCTTGACCAGATAATCCAGTGATCAACAGCATGAGCATAACTCTACGCAACTGAGATACGATGACAAGTCAGTGGGCCTGACCACAAGATCCTGTTAGACGCCTCTTACGACAAGCATGAGTTACTGAAGATACATTCTAACCCGGATCTTCATGGGTCCATAACTAAACAGAAATTCTAGTACTGACATATTGTTTGCACCCTGCTGGTGATGCACATCACACCTGAAATTCCTACCTGTCCTTCCAGCTGCCACTACGAGGGTGGAATCTTTGTTAGTTGTGATGGCATTGACAGGACCTTCACAGTCAAACACCATACTCCGACCACCCACATTCTGGGACACTGTAACATAGTAAAGACTTTTCAAAATCTGTTTCACAATGTAAATAAATCAAGGCACATATCAAATTTAAGAGAGAACGAATAGGCTTGTGTGTAGGCTTGTGAGTAGGGTTGTCAGTGGGATTGTGAGTAGGCTTGTGAATAGGCTCATGAATAGGCTAGTGATTCGGCTCATCAGTAGGCTTGTAAGAAGGCTTTTGAGTAGGCTGATGAGTGGAGCTGTGAGTAGGCTCATGAGCAGGATTGTAAGTAAGCTTGTAAATAGGCTTATGAATAGGCTCATGGGTCGGCTAGTTATTGGGAAAGTGAGTAGACTTGTGGTAGGGACTGAGAGTTGAGAATGGGTTTGTGAAAAGGCTTATGAATAGGCCTATGAGTGGGGGTGTGAGAAGGCCTGTAAGTAGGCATATGAGTAGTGTTGTGAATAGGGTTGTGAGTAGGCAGCTAAGGCTTATGATTGGGATTGTGAGTAGGCTTGTAAATAGGCTTATGAATATGCTCATGAGTAGGCTAATGATTAGGCTTATGAGTAGACTTGTGGTACAGACTGAGAGTTGAACTGAAAAAAATGAGTAGGCTGTAGTGTTCTGAGTGGGCTTGTCAGTGGGCAAGAGAATAGGCTTGTGAGTAGGTTTTTCAGTAGGCTTGTGGCTGACAGATGCCAATTCAATGGAATTAAATACATTGTACTAACAAAACTATGACAGATAATAAAGAGGGAAGTAGGATGAACAATGAGGATAGAAAACAATAAAGTTGTCAGGCTGAAAAGTGGAATCATGGTAAATGCCTGTAACAGTGAAGTCAAGTCTTTATGAAGGTCACTGGCTCATACACATGATTTTAACATAAAATATACAGTGGAAGCTGTCAAAATCAGCAGCTGTCCAATATGGCAAGTTGTCAACACCAGCATAAAATCTCAGTCCTGTCCTTGGCTAGTACATTTACCACCATTTAAAAGTTCTGCAATCCGGCAGCTGTCGATTCCAGATCTCGGCATGAAATGAGCCACCCGAGTATGTGTGTATACAGTGCTGTCTAAATCGGAGTGTGGCATGGAGTCGGACGGATGTGTATTGTCACCAATTAATCCTGCGTTGAAGCTACATGGCTGCTGACAAAAATAATTTAATCTTAGTTCAGTATGGGTACACTTGTAATTAATGACTTGAATTGCTCTCAAATCATCCATTGAGAAGAAACAAACCAAAATGTCTGATGTTTTTCAAATGTGTTGATTTATCATGTTTATGTTATTAAGTGAATAAAAGTGAATATGAGCTCAAATCTTTGTCTTTTATTGTCAATGTGTGCAGTAATTGAGAGAACCATGTGATACAACACTGTACATGAGAGTGACAAAACTGGTTCAGTTCTAGTCATAGGTAACCGTGTCAGCTCTACATTCCGGCATGCTGTCTAAACCAGATTATTTCTTCAGTCCTGACGAGTGCCGGTTTGGACAGCTTCCACTGTACATAATACTTTAACCCATCATGGTAAACCTACATTAATCCTAGCTGAGCAAAACATGTTTACAAAATGGTTCTTCAGCAATATTTCATCATTTGTAGATGATGATACCAAGTTAGCATGCAGGACAGCGTGTATTGATAACTCTACTCCTGGCATCTACCTTCAGTAAACTAGGGGTGAAACGATACGCTCTTAGTCTTACCACGGTAGGGTGAGTATTGCAGTACAAGGTCTTCGGTTCAGTCCGTTTCAGTTCGGTATGATCATAATTTAGAAAAGAAAAGAAATGCATAGATTTTGGCAAAAAGATTTGATTTCTAGACATTTCAGAAAGGTTTAAAAAGGTTAATAAAATGATGAAACGAAAACCGAAAATACAGAATCTTTGGATAGCATTACGGTACACTGAACCGGAGGCAAAATACTGCAGTTCTACTAATACCGTGGTATACCGTTTTACCTCTAGTTTTAACCAATAATAGTCTCACCTTTATCATAAGCTGTTCGTGTAACAGTGTTCATTGTCCTTGTTACATCTTAACTTCCTGCTTCTGTAGGTAAATATCTCAAACATCTTAATTTGTGGGACGCAAATTTCGTCACTGAATGCAAATTGAAAGCAAAGACTTACAGAAATATTAACATGAGTGACAATACCTATCTATAATAATGCATTCTGTATGTAGAACAATAGGCAAAATGTGATGGTTGGCATACCTTTCCTACATACATGCATGACATGACATTGCAGACACACATGCGCACACACACAGACACAGACAATTCTGTCATAGTCTGAAACCAAAATCAAGAGATTCTGAGATAACCTCTCATACCGGAGTTAATGCATTTCATATCTTCATGATATTCTGGAAAATAGCATGATAAATAAACCGCATGCACCTTCAACATTGTTGGTAAATTTAGGACCACGTGCAGGGGGCATTTTATTCACAAAATTGGAAAGTATATAGCAATTTACTCTTTTTCTCTAATTATATAGGCTTAATTCCTAAAAGAGATAGCTACCCACCCCAACCCTTACAACTAAATCTATCGATTTCTGTAAAGGTTTGTTGATTGGCAAGTGGTGCCTAATACTAAAGATGGTGTATGGATGTTTGATTAGAAAGGGGAACCTATCTCTTATGATCCGAGATTGGTGCATGAAAGGATCCGACAGGATCAAAAGAGCACACAAGATCTGTCAAGTGCATACCACAGCAGACAGCTGGTGTCAATTAGTTCCTGGATTCTATGCAACGCAGAAATGTGCTTAAGGTACGCACAAATGCATAGATTGGACACAGAAAAAATACAAATAGCTTTGCCCCATGGGACGCATCAACAATATACGCTTGAACCCAATTCCCTTCAAGAAGTATTAAGTTCCTACAATTGGCATTTATTCCATCTTACACTGCAGAGCACTACACTACTTTTACCTTACTTTCTGCAATATCACTGGAGGGCACCAGAAATAGGTTTCACACATTGTACCCATGCGGGCAATCGAACCCTGGTCTTTCAGTGTTATAAGCGACACTTTAAACACTAGGCTACCCCACCGCATTGGGTATTTTAGAAATTAATTTATTAGTAGTGCACTTTAGTGGGCTTACTTTTTAAGATCCATTTAGTGCTGTGGAGGTTCGATCACACTTCAACATATTAATATAAGTAACGCTATAGACCAATTGATCCAGTCCCGGACTATAAGCCCCGCCCACTAGCTCCTGTCTTCGTTTTTTACGTTGGGGGGACAAACACTGGAAAATCACTATAGTGCCAATTGCTCCATTGCGACCGGTAAACTGCACTCTAGTCCATGATTTTAAGAGAGATATGATAGTGATGATGACTAGCAGAATACGTATATGGGTTGCTCAGGAAAGGGTATGTGGAAGGTGGTGAACTGCGTTTTGAGGTACTACTACTGGTAGACACACAAGCAGAAATAAAACATACCCATTTTCAAAAGTGTTCAAAGAAGAGGTGGACTACTCGGTCTGGAGATGTCTGTTTTCTGCGATGATCTAACTTCTAAGGCACCTCATGAGTAACCACAGTTTTATGTTCGATCATCGATGTTCTGTCTGTCAAGTGTCAATTTCAGTTCCTTGGTCGAGAACAGGTTTACAAGCTGTTGTTTCACTCACATAAAAGTAATTATTTTAAAAATCGATTCACTGAATCTTAAACCATAATGTCACTCTCACACCAACTCTCGATTATGGAAAATAACCCGTGAAACTTGAAACATTTGGAATAAATTGATGGGAGTTGAAAGAAATCCGCAGCCTCTATGTGAAATACGTCATAGCTTCGTGCGTAGCTGTCTGTCATCGCAAAAGAGTAAACAAGATTCGGAAGATGAATCATTGTTTACTAACAAAATCCCAAACGAAAAAGAACACATTTGGCTTTTTGCATAATATATTAATATGAAAATGTAAAAGCACACATATTTCTCAAATAAATATTAATTAGATCAATGCGTATATTTTTCATAAATATTATTTCTCCGCGTGTGCTTAGTTCCTACTTTTGGTATAAATCCGCCTCTTTCTATATCCGGTGTGGCTTCAAAACTAAGGAGGGGGAATTCAAATCTTTTACTTATATCTCAATATACTGCGTAGTTATGAGTAATATGCGTCCACCGGCTCGCAGTCCGTATCAACAAGGTAACATGTCTACTCCGACAGGCCATAATAGCCAGCGATCTCCTAAGGTCAAGAAACATAATAGTAGCCCGGCCTGGGGGTCTGGTGCAATTATACGCCCAATGTCGAATTGTCCGCGACCAGGTCAGTTTACTTCGCCTCCGCCACAATATAATTTTACATCTCCTCCTCAAGGGCCACACCACCAGCAGTTTCCCCCCCCTACCGTAATTTCATGACTAGTCCCCGTCATTATGGTAACAGCTTCGGTAGTAATGGAAACACGTTTAGAACACCACAACCAATGGCCCGAATCCCCTCACCTCAGAAAAGCTGGAGCTGTGACAGGAATTTCCGACCAATGTCACACAAGAAGTTAAATATGAAGGTTAGCCGAGTTTTATTGAACGTTTCTCGTTAAATTGTATCTCAAATGCTAACTTAATAATCTGAGACAATTTTTCATGTCATTCTTAACAATAACATTGTAACTATGCTGCAGAGACCTTTTACTTCCATTTGCCTAGGTATGTTTGTACATAGTGAAAACGTATCCACAGAGTCTCAGAACTACCTTGTGCACTTAAACGTACAATGTGTGAAGCACTGTTATATTGCTGGAATATTGCTAAAAGCGGTGTAAAACTAAAATCACTCGCTAAATGTACTCATCAGTAACATGTGAGACTTTTTTGGACATTACCAGTTCAGTTCATGATATTGGTAGAAGTCTGGTGTACAGATGGTCCACAGTTCAGATTTTGCAGGAAATACTATCTGCTTACAGCTAGCACGACCTACACACTTGTAGATGGTGGTTTTGAGGAATCCTCCACAAGAGTGGGTACATTTAGTGTTCAAAGGTGCTTATTGTACTCTATGGGTCCTTTTCACTACACTCAAAAGTACCTAGGCAAATAGCAGTATAAGGCATGACAATGTCAATGTAAATTATAGCTTGATTTTTGGAATCAGTTAAGTTTCTGAAATTGTATCCAGTATGTTCTTACATTTAAATTTTTAGAAAACTTTAAGGACTATTTAGTTTTAATCGATGAATTGTAGGATGCAACTTCTTTAATGTCAAATCTGTTAACTGAATATAACTCTTACCATGCTTGCGGTCTGACATGCCTATCTTTAGAATAAATTTCTTCTAATACACCATCTAAAAAAAATAATTGAATAACTGTGTATTTGTTTTCATCAATATTACCATAATCTGTTATTTCACAGAGTCCTAGACGAGACCCTAATTCTAATCCTGGAGGATGCAATGACATAGCACTATACTATCACCCGAGTATGTTGGCTGATCCGTGGCAAAAAATGACTCCCGTTCCCGTAACACACACACCCTCTGCGACCACATGATAACAATACAGGAACGATGTTCAATATCAGGTTATGCGGTACTATTTTGCCAAGTACAGTAACAGATTTATCTTCCGTGACGACAGACAAAATGTGGTTATGGCTTAACATGGCAGCAGTTTCTTACAATGGACACATACCTCAAGAATGTGTGGTCAATATACGTTATTGGTGGGATTGATTTTCTTTCAGCGGTAATCTTTACATGGAGTAAAAATAATAATTTGGACTTAGAAGCAAGACCTGCTCAATGGGCCCTTCAGTCTGCATATTTTTGACAGTGGATTAACCCTAACAAGGAGGCAGCTTTTCTGAGATTGAGTGTTAAAGTGTTAAAACTTTGAACACTTTCAAGTGTGGATTATTATTTGACAGTGGAATGTCGTTTTATTTTGTGCGCTGTGAAACTTGAACCTGTTCATTAACCATATTAACTGTTTAAGCATTGAGTGATCAAGAAAGGGTTGAAGTATTTTGGGATTTCTTCGACATCTAGCTGTCAAATTGGTACTCATCCTAAGTGTTCTTTGTAAAATCGCCATACTATTTGTCATCACGATTCATTTGAACTTTTCGTTATATTTTAGAGAAGAATCAGTTCCATTATTGATAGTCCAAGATGTTTCAAATAAAATCAGAAATTTGGACGTTTGTATATTTGGCTATCTGGTAAGCACATTTTAATTTCGGCTTTTTAAAAAAAATGTCATCATTTCGTTTCTAACTGTCAAGTTATGTAAGATGCAGCCATTGTTTCTTGTGTGATGCTAACAGACTTGATAAGACTTAGAAATTTGTTATTTGTTGACAATTTTAGACTGTCAGTTTTAGTTGTTTTATATATTGTAAATTGTGTATATTATTTGTGTATTTATCACAGAGTGTCATTAAACTTTGTATATATATCTATCTGTTCAAAAGATAGCCTAACCTTGTTAAAACCTGATGAATGTTTTATCTTGAGAATATTAACTGCAGTATATTTTAACATACTTAAGGATCCTCTCTGAAATAACTGATGAAAAGTCCTACAAATCGTCCATCATATTATTCATTGTTTTGACCTTCCTAGTATGTGTTTTGTTCAAGAGGAAATATCAGATTCTAATTGTATGCCCAGTCTTATAATAGGAATAGTATGGATTGGAAAAAAGCTGATCAATTATTAATAATGAAGTTATGAATTAATTTTCTGTCTAAATGTGTATAGATATAAAAACATTTATATAGTAGTTCTTAGATGAATAAAAGGAACGATTGATTTCAAATTGAAATATGTTAGTTTGTAATTTTTTCTTCATGAATTTGCACATTTGGTTATCATTGGATATAGAACAAATGTCAAATACATGGAGAATTATGGTTTCTGTAACACATCATTATAGGATATTTATATAGCGCACATATCCACGCAACTAGTGCATGCTCAAGGTGCTGGTATTTTTGCCCCTCGATCATTGGATGTCAATCACAACGGCACATCGTATTATCAATCTCAACCCCTGCAGAGTATAATCTTTTGCAGCCACTAGGCGCACCGAGATATTGTGGCTTTCTCATCCTAACACACCAGGCTGTGTGCAATAAAGTCATGTGTCACAGTGGTCATTCTACTGGTAAACTATTTTATTTTTCAACTTTCAACCCTTACAGCATGTCTCCATGGTGTGGTGTGTTAAATACTAAACAGCCTTCCATCAGTTGCTAACATTTGTTATAGTTGTGTGGAAATGTAGGTGTATTTTAGTGATAACACAGACTGTTCATTAATCTGGAAGCAAGCATGGTTTTGAGGACAGTATAATTTGTTTACACTATCAAAGCAACTAGTGGCATTCTAAGGTTTCATCATACAAAAATTCCGAGTCATACATCATTATACTGTCTGTTTAAGTAGGGGTAGGGGAGGGAAGCCTAGTTGTTAAGTCTGCGCATGTTTCTAAATCCAGAGTTCGACTCCCTGTATGGGTGCAATGTGAAAAGCCCTATTCTGGAGTCAACTACCCTGATATTGCTGGAGTATTGGTAAAAAGTGTCTCTTTTTGAGAGAAATCATGCACTGTTATGATACCTAATAGTCTCCAGTCCGTGAAGATACAGGTTGGAATTGTCACAGCAACCCATGCTCGTCGTCCGTGGTGTAGGGGTTAGAGCGTCTGCCCGGAGAGCAGAAGGTCGCGGATTCGATCCCCGACCGCGTCATACTAAAAGACGTTCAAATATGGTACTTTTTGGTCCCTGCCTGGCGTTCGGCATTAATGGGTACAACAAGGACTGGTCGGCTCGGAGTCAGTATAATGTGTCTGAGTGGGGTATTCATGCTTCACTGCAGCATGGTATCTCAGTGAGCTAGCACTATAAAATCAGCTTAAGTCTGGGCTAGTACAAGCAGCCGCACATACACACGCATGCACGTCGTCATATGAGTGAAATATTCTCAAGCACGACGTAAAACCCAATTTCACCTCACCTCACCATGCTTGCGTAAGAGGCGACTAACAGCATCGGGTGGTCAGGCTCGCTGACTTGGTTGACACATGTCATCGTAACCCAACTGATGTTGATGCTCATGCTGTTGATCACTGTATTGGCTGATATATCCAGACTGGAATATTTACAGATGGACGCGACATAGTTGGGATATTGCTGAGTGCACACAACAAACAAACCACATCTAGTAATCTCCAATGCATTTGAGAAATGGCATACAGATTTTAGTGTTAAGCTGGGCTCCATGGTATTGTGTCGCTTGGGTGCAACTTGCATGGAATTAGGGAGTGAAATTAGTCCTAACTGCTTATGCTGATTATGTGCAACATGTACAGGACTTGGGGGCTACAGTTTGGTTCAACTATGTTGTGCTTATTTTATTGGGGGATAGGTTAGACCCTGTTATCTTGTGCTTGTAGGTTGCAACATGCATGTGATTTATGAGATAAGTTAGACCCTGTTATGATGTGCTTGTAGAGTAAAAAATACCTGTGATTACGAGATAGGTTAGACCCTTTTATCTTGTGCTTGTAGGTTGCAACATGCATGTGATTTATGAGATAAGTTAGACCCTGTTATTATGTGCTTGTAGAGTACAAAATACCTGTGATTACGAGATAGGTTAGACCCTGTTATCTTGTGCTTGTAGGTTGCAACATGCATGTGATTTATGAGATAAGTTAGACCCTGTTATTATGTGCTTGTAGAGTACAAAATACCTGTGATTACGAGATAGGTTAGACCCTGTTATTATGTGCTTATAGAGTACAAAATACCTGCAATTTACGAGATAGGTTAGACCCTGTTATCTTGTGCTTGTAGAGTACAAAATGTGTGTGATTTACGAGATAGGTTAGACCCTTTTATCTTGTGCTTGTAGAGTACAAAATACCTTTGATTTATGGGATAAGTTAGACCCTGTTTGTAAGGTGAAAATACCTGGGATTTAGAGGTTAGAGATGTGTGTGTGTGTTGTTTTAGTGTTTTATACCCAATGTAGAGTGCAGCATAAGATACAACTGTCATGTATACATATGGTGGTACATTTGACATAGTCCTATTGGATCTTGATCAAGACACTGTGTGATGTGAGAAGGGTTGGTAGTTTGTGTACATTATTGCTTGTGTCTTGTCTTGGATTGTTGTGATGCAGCCATATCTGGTCAGCCTGGTGAGATTCTTGTTGTTTACAAGATGGTGTGAAGATGCTGAGTTTGGGTATTGCTGACTGCTGCAGAAGATGACAATAACCATTTCCACGGTCTATAAACTCCCATCCGTATCAATATCACTAACAGCCAGTGAAGATCCGGGTTAGAATTGATCTTCAGCAACCCATGCTTGTCGTATGAGGCGACTAACGGACTTAGGTGGTCAGACTCACTGACTTTGTGGACACATGTCATTGTATGCGTAGATTAATGCTCATGCTGTTGATATCACTGGATCGTCTGGACTTTACTCAAATGTCTACAGACTGCTGCCATATAGCTGGAATATTGCTGAGTGCAGCGTTTAACAACAAACAAACGTCACTTATCATGTATAAGTCGTTAATAAGGCAGCTGTCACAGTGCTCACGAATGGTGTTTCAAAGTAACAGGACATTGGGTCATGCAAGTTTCAGATGTCTGTCTGACCCATTGAAAATTCACAGGACCCATAGAATGTAATTAAACACACATTTCAGATTTAACATTTCTTATACTTGACATTGAAATTATTAACAAACATAAGATTTATAAACAGCAAACAAGTGTCACAGGTCTCATATAACAACTTCAGTCAAAGTCATTGTGAAATATACAGTCAGACACTGGGGCCGGCGGGTTTTAGACTTGTATCAGACCGTTGGCGAATCTGCCGGATTTGTCAGAGGGTAAGACGCTATTCGTGAGCACTGCTGTCATTTCTACCGGTGCTGCTTAGAACCATGGGAACTGAGCCAGTTTACACTTGTCAGAGGGGCACACAAGTGCGTGATCTAGACTACCTGTTGTCTGGCTTCCGTTTGTGTAGGGCGGTGGGGTATCCTAGTGGTTAAAGCGTTGGCTCGTCACGCCGAAGACCCGGGTTCGAATCCCCACATGGGTACAATGTGTGAAGCCCATTTCTGGTGTCCCCCGCCGTGATGTTGCTGGAATATTGCTAAAAGCGGCGTAAAACCAAACTCAGTCAGTCAGTCCGTTTGTGTAAGCTGTGGTGGCTAAGTGGGTTAGATTGCAGACTTTTTATTCTGGAGATCAGCTGGCAGACTCTGAGAAAGACTAATCTCACATGTAATATTTTGGCCACTTTCTAAATGGTATTGTGTATTCATAACTCTATGACACATGAAAATAGTATTTACACCACCACTGCTGTCAGGTGTAGAACTGATCCCCAACAAAATGAGCTCTTTGTGCAAGATGGTTTAGTAGACTGGGTGGTCAAACTGTAACTTTAACGACTGCTTGTCATCCTGACAACATGTGATGTGACTCATGATATCAATCTCTTGTTTGTATGGTCCAGATGTTATATGCTAAGCGCTGCCTCATCAGGGCAGAGGTAAAAAAAAATTTTCACTTTAGAAAGGCTGCATATTAACTTCAGAATGCCCATTTGAAGTAAATTAATCTTAGTTTTCTCTAGAGGTTCTCAAGCCCGTAATTTTAATGGAACGTAACCACAGTTAGTAGTTAGCTTCATATCTGGAACTAACCAGATAGACCAGTGTCATCCTGAAATGTTGGACTTATGCAGAGATCCCAACCCTTACGCTTTAGGCGTAATTATTACGATTTTGACCAGTAAATTACACCATTACACTTAATCTGCGAAAATTACACTTTTCTACTCGTTTTACGAAAATCAAAGTGGGTAAAATTTCACAGGGAAGTGTTTCGTAATGCACTAGTGCAGGGGTGCAGAAATGGCCTTGCATCGATAGGAATCGCTTACTCTTAGCATCTCACTCATTCCAATAAACTTGCAAGGAATTAAAGTATTTTGAGTCGCATGACCAACAATTTTCGATGTATGGAGCTTCATAATGATTGGTCACATGTGTTTCTGTCTAGAATCTTCCTTTCATGAAATTAACGTATACCGTGTTGAAGCGAGCGGTAAAACTAAATCGGCTGACAAGTATTACACTCTTTAGGTCCAAATTACACTTTTTGACCTCTATTATTACACTTAGGCCCAAAATAGTGTTGGCATCTCTGCTTATGCAGTATGGTATCAGAGGCCCAGATAAGCTGCGTATCCGGGTAAAATATGCATAGAAAATTTCCAATTACGCATTGAAAAATAATTGTTGCATACCAATTAAGCATTTAAACTGTTAGATAGGCAAAGAGTTTAAAACAAATGCGTAAGGAATATACTTATAAAAATTGCTTGCGTAATGAAAAAGACATCGATTGCTATCAAGTTGTACTGTTAGTATAGGACAGGTGTTGTACTGTCAGTATAGGATGAGTGATTTTTTATGAAATCATTTCCATTATGTTTAAGTTGGTTTTGATTAGGTATGACATAAGGCAGAACATACCTGCTTAGTAAACTTACTCAATGACACAATACTTAGGTGTGTAAAATGACTGAAATACGCACATATTTGAAAGCAGTGGGTAACGGAAAATGAAATGCCCACTCAACATTCATAATACCCACTCCAAAAAAATACAGTGGGTACAGTACCCACATTAGCTAAATCTTATCTGGAGCTCTGTGGTATGACGTCTCAGTAGCTCACATTTCAGGGTCCCTTGAAGGTCTAGATAGAGGATATGTTTACATAGCAGAAGGGCAGAGGATCGATTCCTATGATGATGTGGTGGTATATGTGAGTGAGTTTAGTTTTACACCGCACTCAGCAGTATTCCAGCGATATGGCGGTGGTCTGTAAATAACCAAGTGTGGACCAGACACCATCCAGTGATCAACAGCATGAGCATCGATCTACACCACTGGTGGTACATGTTGTCACCCTGACATGAGTCGAGCGGTAAGGGTGCAAAGTAAGGACTCTTCATCTCCATGTCCGTCACTCTCACAGCACATAATGCACACACACACACACACACACACATGCACAGAGAGAGCTGTTTTAGTGCAATAAACCCATCAAGATCTGAGTTACAATTGATCTTTAGCCACCCATGCTTGTCCTTGCAGGTAACTGAAGGAAGTAGATGGTCAGACCCACTGGCTGTTAAGTTTAATAACTGGATTGTTTGGTCCAGATTCTTTTCAAAAGCTCAGAATCTTTCTACAAAACTTAAATATCCCCCTTCTGCCTGGGTTACATGTTCAGCTACCATGTGGTAGTCGGTTCTGATGACTCTTAGTGGGTTGTCTTGTTGCTAGAGAATGCATGTCTTTGTACAGAGTTTGCAAAACGGTTACATTTAATGTGTCCTACCTGATTGACAAATTTAAATATTATATTTCAGAATGCCATTAATTAATTATTAGACTTCCACTCAAAGTAAAATGTAAGGCATTTCAGTTTTATATATTATTAACACCGCACAGAGAGGGAGGGAGAGAGAGAGAGAGGCTATGTCAGATGACATGAATCACTTGAAGAAAGAATAACCATAAGCATGATAAGGAGGAATAAGGATTTCTGCGCACGCACGTGAACACACAAGTGATACAGAGCTTGGATCCAGTTACATAAAACTGCTCAAAACCGCTTACAAGTCAGAACATAACTGGACATGTATGCAGTCATGTTGAAGCTTTTGGTGAATACACAGGTCCTCAATCTGGAAATCTGAAAGTAATATCTGATATTCTGACCTCAAATTCGGTGTTCGCTTCATGCATGACCACCCTGGACACATCCTGCAAGATTCAGGTCATGGATCATATAGATGCCTGAGTTTGCTGAGTAGAGTTGTGTCCCTTGGGCATGGCCCCCGCCTCCGTGGTGTAGTACTTAGAGTGGAAGGTCACTGGTTCGATCCCTGGCCACGTCATATCAAAAGATGTTACAATATGGTACTTCTTGGTCCCTGTCTGGCGCTTGGCATTAATGGGTACAACAAGGACTGGTCGGCTTGGAGTCAGTATAATGTGTCTGAGTGGGGTATTCATGCTTAACTGCGGCATGGCATCTCAGTGGGCTAGCACTATAAAACCAGCTTAAGTCTGGGCTAGTACGAGCAGTCACACATACACATACACACGCATGCATGTCGCCATATGAGCGAAATATTCTTAAGTACGACCTTAAACCCCATTTCACCTCACCTCCTTTGGGCATGCCATAAATCTTTGATTGTGGGTTTGAAAACCAGTTTTGTATGATTACGTTTATAGGTTTGTCAGCACCAAAATTATTATTATTATTATACGATATTTCTTTAGCGCATATCCAGGCAACTAGTGCTTGCTCAAGGCCGCTGGTATATTTTCCCTCGATAATTGGATGTCAATCTCAACGGCACAACGTGTTATCAATTTCAACTCCCTGGGGAGTATACAATCTTGCAGCCACTAGGCGTTATTGTGGCTTTGTCATCCTAACGAGGTACCCATTCACAGCTGGGTGGACTGGGACACATAGTCACAGTACTTTGTCCAAGTTTACTGCACGTTGCTGTACCCGCAAATAGGTGTTTGCACGTATTCATGTGGCCACCATCTGGTCATATACCAATGGATTCGTGCGTTCTTTTAAGTGCACAGGGTTGTGTACTGTACACTAGGGGTTGTGACAACACTGAAAGAGTCTGCACACAAAGTTGACTCCCAAGGTTTTACACCCAGTCTCAGGTGGGCTCGATCCCAACACCTCAACCTCGCTGGATCACTAGCCTGGCTCCTTAGCCAGCTCGCCCACCCGCCCACAAAATATTGCTAAAAGCGGCACAAAACTAAACTCACTTACTCAGTCTGTTCATTTGGGATATTACTTTGTGCAGCTTTAAGCAAAACCAAAAACAATATCGTAGAATGAAACACTACAAATGCAATATTTGGACAAATATTAATATGTCTTTCAGTGGCATTTAGAAGTTGTACATTGATGTCCAAGATAATTTTATGGATTAAAAAGGGAAATTAAAAAGAAGTTTAATCCATAAAAATATCTTGAAAAATAATAATAAACAGAAATACCAGATCTTTCATATTTATTTCTCAGTTAAATTTATCATTTTTTCAAGACCATTGAGATTCATGTTCAATGACAAGTTAATGTATCAATCCACCAATGTAAAATGCATGACAACGTAAACGTTTCTAAGCGCAGACTTTCAGATGCATCCGTACATGAATAGATATGTTTTTTCTAACCTGTCCCATATTGGTACAATGTTTGAAGCCGATTTCTGGTGCCCCTGACCATGATACTGATGGAAAGCGTCTAAAAGCTGAGAAAGATCATATTCCGTCTTTAACCTCTACCAGTATTCGATGACAATCACATGCTTCAAGATTCTAACATTCCCATTGATGGTGAGTAGCATAATTATATCCTTTAAGTATACTACTCAATATTTGTAAGGAACACCTTTGAACACATTGGACTATTTGGGTTCTTTACTAATGTTGAGTAGTATTTAATAGACCAACATATGATAAATAAATGATCGCAAATTGCAGACTCTTCAACATGTTTCTTAATTAAATGTAGAACAAACTCCAAAATTTTCTCGTTCAAATAATTTCCCCTAAATTATAAAGAGGAAATACAACAACATGGCAGTGGAGACCCTGAAATATATAGTTTATGAGAGAACAATTGCCAATAACACCAAGGGTGTAAATGATATACTCCTGCAATTGATCACCTCACCTGAAGCTAATAATTAGTGGTCTACAGGACTCGATTTAGTGTTTTGTTACTTGAACCGGTGCAACCCTATATTACAAAGTGCAACCTAGATATAAGTCTAACTTGCACCAGGTGCAAGTCAATTTGTGAGTGGGCATACTTCTGAATTAAACATCTAAATAATTCAATAGCATATGTCACTACATATTGCAATAAAAACTGTGCAACTGGAATTTGGTGCATCTAGGTTGCACCTGGTGCAAGCAGGTTAACATCTCTTAAATCAAGCACTATTTTCTATGTAAGGCAGCTTATGAGAATATAATTTAAACTGCTACTTTGAATTTAAATCTAACAGCAATGATGGATGTTGCAATCCGATCAGGTTATCCATATTTTTGTGTTTTCCATATCCTGCCTCCCTCAATCATTCCGACATGAAAAAAATATGTGATACAGAAATACTCTAACCCTTGCACACGCATGAAAAGACAGGTGAGCTTCATCTTTCATCTACATTTATTAAACAATTGTTAGAAAAAGAAGTCCCTTTCTGCAAAAATGAACAGCTATCAAATTTGAATCAGAGGTAGTTAATGTGATTTGAAACCTGAGAGACCCAATGTGAATAGAGTCTCTTTAAATTCACAGGAGCAAGTAGTTTAAATGTAGGGCACTGTGTACAAACGGTGTACAAGTGAGGAAAAGAAAGGAAGTAAACAGATCAACGATATTTGAGATTGCTGATTCCCGCAGACCTTTAAGTAGAGCAATGTAATATGAGACGTTGATGCAACAGATCTTTTTTCTGACAATGTTGTGTATTGCACAATACATCAATGAGGAAGCTCAAACAACTGCTGCAGATCAGAAAAGACAGGCAAGAAAAGTCTGAACCAGAACCAGCATGAATACAACACTGTACTCGAACAGTAAATGCAAATTGAACACATTTATCAGTCAAATTAGCCATATGAAGACACTTTACCTTACCCTGCCCTCAACCATATTATGATGATGAAAGTTGAGATCGAAGCTTGATGGACAAATAATAATAATGATAAAATTATGCCGTGAAACCCCATAATCGGGATAACCACCCGCGATATCTTTCGATATTCACGTTTCCAGATCAGCCAATCAGGTAGCAAGTTATGTCCTTACCATGGTAACCAAGTAATGCCCATACAAGACAGTAGTAACTCAGACATAACCACCGCCTGGAAAGTGGCTTTCCGTATTTATGGGTTCCACTTTGCGTCAATAAATAAGATCAGTTACTGATGTTATGTATAAAAATTTCTTCTATTGTTTATAATGTTTGAGCGTCCTGGCAGAAGGGTCTGTTGCGTTGATCCAGCGTGGCATCCACATATATGGTATCCATGACGACTTGGAGGGGTAGTACTTCTCAAACACCCTTCTGTAATACAGGGCTTCCTTCGTCCTGGGGGTGTTGAAGGGGTAGAGTGAGGCAGACTGTTCCAGCTGATCGTCGTTGATCTGAAAGAGAGGGAATCCATGTAGGGATGGAATACAACAGGATATTGTGCAAAAGTTTCAAATAATGTCCTATTTCAAATAGGTAGTTTGGTTGGTTTTTTTTTTAATGCAGCATGATCTGTAAATAATCGAGTCTGGACCAGACAATCCAGTGATCAAAGGATGAGCAATGATTTACACAATTGTGATACAATGACACGTGTCAACCAAGTCAGCGAGCCTGACCTCCCGATCCTGTTATTCACCTCTTTCGACAAGCATGGGTTTCTGAATGCCAATTCTAACCCAGACCTTCCAGGTCCTATTTCAAATAGGACCATATATACTCAGTGAAATATAGCATTGGCACTTTTGATTGTTGTTTGAAATGAGAAGAAACTTCCTTGTTTCAATCACCCCGTTAATTATGGTTCAGTGTGGATTCCCACATATAAGAAACTTCCTTGTTTCAATGACCACGTTAATTATGATTCATTGTGGATTCCCACATAGAAGAAACTTCCTTGTTTCAGTGACCACGTTAATTATGATTCAGTGTGGATTCCCACATAGAAGAAACTTCCTTGTTTCAATGACCACGTTAATTATGATTCAGTGTGGATTCCCACATAGAAGAAACTTCCTTGATTCAATGACCACGTTAATTATGATTCAGTGTGGATTCCCACATAGAAGAAACTTCCTTGATTCAATGACCACGTTAATTATGATTCAGTGTGGATACCCACATAGAAGAAACTTCCTTCATTCAATGACCACGTTAATTATGATTCAGTGTGGATTCCCACATAGAAGAAACTTCCTTGATTCAATGACCACGTTAATTATGATTCAGTGTGGATACCCACATAGAAGAAACTTCCTTGATTCAATGACCATGTTAATTATGATTCAGTGTGGATTCCCACATAGAAGAAACTTCCTTGATTCAATGACCACGTTAATTATGATTCAGTGTGGATTCCCACATAGAAGAAACTTCCTTGATTCAATGACCACATTAATTATGATTCAGTGTGGATACCCACATAGAAGAAACTTCCTTGATTCAGTGACCACGTTAATTATGATTCAGTGTGGATTCCCACATAGAAGAATCTTCCTTGTTTCAATGACCACATTAATTATGATTCAGTGTGGATACCCACATAGAAGAAACTTCCTTGTTTCAATGACCACGTTAATTATGATTCAGTGTGGATACCCACATAGAAGAAACTTCCTTCATTCAGTGACCACGTTAATTATGATTCAGTGTGGATACCCACATAGAAGAAACTTCCTTGTTTCAATGACCACGTTAATTATGATTCAGTGTGGATTCCCACATAGAAGAAACTTCCTTGATTCAATGACCACGTTAATTATGATTCAGTGTGGATACCCACATAGAAGAAACTTCCTTGTTTCAGTGACCACATTAATTATGATTCAGTGTGGATTCCCACATAATTATGATTCAGTGTGGATTCCCACATAGAAGAAACTTCCTTCATTCAATGACCACATTAATTATGATTCAGTGTGGATTCCCACATAGAAGAAACTTCCTTGTTTCAATGACCACATTAATTATGATTCAGTGTGGATTCCCACATAGAAGAAACTTCCTTGTTTCAATGACCACGTTAATTATGATTCAGTGTGGATACCCAATTACAATTGGTCATATGAAGTAGGGCAGTGGGGTAGCCTTGTGGTTACAGCATTTGCTTGTCATGTCAAAATACTTGTTCCAATTAAGATACAGTGGTATTGTTTAATGAACTGAGGGCATTGCTATTGTAACAGTCTTACTTGCTGGTGTGAAAAGAATAATGCAACACATATTTTTTGTAAGATGAAGGTAGTGGAGCGACCCAAAAAAATGAAAGCTGTGCTGTAAGGAGAGTGGATGCAGGAATGACATGGATACACTGATAACATGCACTGTGACGGGGAAGGGCACATCCATTACTGTTGATCACTGGATTGTCCGATCCAAACTTGATAATTTACCGACTGCTGCCATACAGTTAAACCACAAACAAACAAAACTCTTGAAGACTAGGCCAGCTCATTCCAAACTCACCTGCTCATCACAGAAATCTTGTATGACCTCAAAGAGTGACCTCTTGACAGACGAGACTCCATCACTGAAGGCCTCCTTCGGCCTCCACAGGATGTCCTTGGGTAGGAGGTTCATGCCATCAAAGGCTGACCGGAGGAGGTACTTCTCCACCCCCTTCCTGGGGACGCGGTCCTCGGCAGGGAGGGACAGGTAGTAGCTGGTGAACTGATGGTCAAGGAAGGGGACCCGGATCTCCAGTCTACAAGCCAAGGGACAAGGGTTATTGCAAGGGTACATACATATATTATTGTAATCATCTCATCAGAGTTCATCTGTTTTTCTCACCCAATCTCATTTTCAGATGAAAGACAAATTGTGAAAACTACTGTTATCAGAAGATGACAAATCCCCCCGGCCCCCACAAATTATCTTAGTACAAATCATCTGACAGTCACTTAAAGTCCAACATTTTTTTTAATAAGTCCAAATCGTTTCCATGGAAATCATGAAAACTATAAATGCCAAAAATGTGCAAATAGCACAAGGCACCACTTCAAAACCTGTTTGATAGATTGATATATCTGCCAAGACTTGCAGAATGGTTTTTGAGTTGTGCTCTGGAAATGAAGCCCGCCCCTCCCTTTGAGACCAAAAATTCTGAATTGTTTCCATTGAAACCGAGAAAAATAAAAATGCCCCAAATCCGAAAATAGCAAAGTCACCACTTTGGGATCTACCTCATATATCTGCTAAGTTTTGTTGAAAGATATTGAAAGGTTTTCAAGTTGTGCTCCAGGAACAAAATCCACCCCTTTTCGAGATTAAGTCCAAATTGTTGCCATGGAAATCCAAAAAATAAAAATACCCAAGATCTGTTAATAGCAAAAGGCACACTTTCAGTTCTGTTTGATATTTGTACAAAATTTTGTTGAAAGATATTGATTGTTTCTTAGTTATGCTCGAAATGAAATGATTACAGACGGACAAGGTGTTGACTATATCTTCCCACATTATATGCTGGTGGGATAAAAAGTAACTTTGCTTAGGGTTTCGCAACAAGATTGTTTCTCTGAATTTAGTGGCTGTCCTGATAAAGAGGTGTTCAAAAATATGTTTGGCTCTTACTTTCAGAGAAAACCGTGTGTTGATACAGAGTCTGAAAACATATTCTCAGACAAAAATCCAAGTCCCTTCCTCAAAACGATAAATGGTCAGTTCGACATATTGTATATGTTAATCACAAGAAGTCCGACAACATCTGTTTATTTAATATGACTATTGTCAATCGGTCATGGGTGGATACTGCAACACAAAGCCTTCCTATTGGGGTTTTCCTTAACTTGTTTTGAGAACTACTGAATCATGTACAAACTCCACACCAGTTCCTACCTACCATGATCTTATCACCCCATTTTGTTGCTTTACACTTCAGTCCACAATATTCCAGGAATAATCGCTGTAAATAATAGTCTGGACCAGACAATCCAGTGATTGACATGGGCATTGACCAATGCTTAAGGGACATAGCACATGTAACGAAGTCCATGGAAATGGCCACACTATCTATTTGAATTATCAATATTGTGACACCTGAGAAGATCCGGGTTAGAATTGGTCTTCAACAACCCATGCTGATCATAAGAGGTAACTAATGGGATTGGGTGGTCAGGCTCACTGACTTGGTTGACACATGTCATTGTAGCCCATTTGTGTAGATCGATGCTCATGCTGTTGATGACTGGATTGTTTGGTCCAGATTGGATTATTTACAGACTGCTGGAATATTGTTGTGTGCATCAATAAACAACAAACAAATCAATATTGTGGCCTTACCCCCAGGCTGCCGTTGTTCTGTCCCCTCTGAGGACGTCGTACATGTAGAGGTCTTTCAGGAGTCTCCGACTCTCCTCATCCCCAGCTTCAGGGGATGGAGATTTATGGAAGTAGATGTATCCCTGGGCCAGCTCGTCAGACCCCTCACCGGACAGGATGACCACTGTGTCTGTCTTCTCATTGATGTATTTGCTGACCAGGTACATACCTGGATAAAAACACGGCCAATAAAGTTAACATTGTCACAGAATGACCGCAGTTTGCATTTCTCATTGGAGAACATGATGTGCTGACCAGGTACACAGCTGGACGAAACACATATACTCAGCAAAAATAGAAACGCAAAAGTGGGAAAATTAGAAATATCTGACAGATTCTTGGTGATATGCATGCAAAGTGAACACCAAATATGGATTTCTCTCTGTCCGCAATCAGGAGTGATTTGTGCGGGTGGATAAAAGTATGTGGAGGGAAAAAGTAGGGGACACGTGAAATCACGTGGCAGCATGGTGGTCAAACATACTAACATGAAATGAATGTGCAACATGAATTGTGCTATGAAATCGATGTGTCTGTCATCACAGTTGTACAGCACAAGAAAAGTGAAAACATGCCAACAGAGGCTCAATGCAACAACACCATCGACCGACTGCAGACAGGCGACTTGGCTTTGCAAGGTATTCCACATATTGCCAGTCACCGTTACAAGACCATGGAACCATTTTCAGACTCAGGTGTCACCACATGTTGATCTGATTGACCACATGCCACAAGTGCAGCACAGGACTGGTTCATATGTCTTCATCCGACTCACCTCGGCCACCTCGGCCACCTCTACAGCTACAGCAATGCCATAATTGCGTAGGATTTTTGCCCTGAGTGTGAGGAACCCACTAGTGGTGTTCTGATGATCAAAAATAATGGAAATGGATCGAAAGAAGGATTAAAAATAATTTTCGATTGTGAAAAACATATTTTCGATTAATCATAATTTTTTTGTTTTAGTGTACGCACATGAATGTAGTTAACTAACCATTAAATTGACGAACAACATGCACTCAACAGCGTAAGGCTATGTGCACTGTATTTATAGTTTTGTTTTCATCACTACGGTAAATATTACTGTAACCTGTCTGTAAATACATCTATTGTGAAGTAATGATATATAATGACAAATATCTTAGTTTTAACCACTCTTATTGTTTAATTACAATTCCAGTGTCTTTCTTGCATGCATGCATTTCATTGCATGACTGTATTAGTTAAAAAAACACCATTAATTAGAAAAACTTGGGAAAACCCTTAAAATTGGTGATTACATTAAAAATGTATATATTTCGATTATAATCGATAATCGTTCACCACAAGTCCTCCGATAATCGATAGTGGATTTGTTTTCCGATTCCCAACACTAGAACCGACAACGTACTACAGGTGTTCGCCAAGATGAACATGCTTGATATAAGGCCAATTATATCATCACAGTGTGAGTGAGTTTAGTTTTATGCTGCACTCCGCAATATTCCAGCTATATGGTGGCGGTCTGTATATAATCGAGTCTGGACCAGACAATCCAGGGATCAACAGCACAAACATTGATCTACGCAATTGGGATATGATGACATGTGTCAACCCAGTCACTGAGCCTGACCACCCGATGCCGTTATGTCGCCTCCTACGACCAGCATGGGTTGCTGAAGACCAATATTAACCCGGATCGTCAAGGGTTATATCATCACAGAAGCCTCCATGATAATGGTGAGCACACCTACCGACTGAGGCCCTGATGGTTGTAATGTCGTATGTTTCAAGATGGCGAATCAAGTCATCTAAAACATCGATGGCCTCTTCGGGTGTGAAGATAATCTCGTGATGTTCAGTGTCTAAATGTTTCGCAACCTGAAATATGAAGAAAGGGTAAAGACTTTTTTATAGTCACAGTGCTAACACTACGTTCGTGTGATTACAAGAATCTGTACTTTACTAAGGAAAGTGTAATCCCAAATATAACGTTACACATTAGTTGGTTAGAAACCTTTAGAACAGAAAAATATGAACATATCCTATCCGAAAACACACATGCGAGCACAGAAGATTTGTTCGTAATGTTCCAAGACTCACCTTCCTAGCTGCTATGATGTCCGTACTCCCTTCCATGCCAATAGAGAAGGTCTGTATGGGGTAGGGCAGCTTTTGTTCCTTGGCATTCTTAACCAACAACGCAGCTACCACACTTGAGTCAAGACCACCTAAGAGAAACCATGATTTGTTTTGATATACTGACTAGTGGTCGAATAATTGGTCAATCGATCAATCTTGCTTGCATCAGTGATTATTGAGTGTGTGAGTGGGTTTACAGTTTTATAGTGTTTTTAGCAATACTCCAGCAATATCACGGCAGGGGACACCAGAAATGGGCTTCACACATTGTACCCATGTGGGAATCGGACCCGGGTCTTCGTGTGACAAGCGAATGCTTAAACCACATGGTTACCCCACTGTCTTGAACAAATATTGATTAGCTTTGGAGACTTATCAATATTCATACAAATTAAGCATCCAATTAAACTTTAGGAAGCATGTTTCTGATTGACATGTTTGATAAATCAAGACATAAACAACTGAAGCAGTTTCCTGACTCACAAAACAACAAAGTTTCAGCATACTCTGTACTTGTGTACGTGCGTGTCTCAATCATAGCAGTAATTAGTGCCTGTTTCATTTGCACTACGTTGTGACTGTGTCGAAATCGACCATAAATCCCGAATTTTGTAGTTGTTCACGATTAATATTATTACATTGATTATTGATCGATTACTATGCTCCAATTATTGATCTACATACTGAGAGAGTCAGTTAAGTTTTACGCTGCTTTTAGCAATATTCCAGCAATATCACAGCGGGGGACACCAGAAATAGGCTTCACACATTGTACCCATGTGGGAACCAAACCTGGGTCTTCGTGTGACAAACATAATGAAGAAAGTTAGTAAAATCAGCAGTAGTCAATCTACAGGAAGCGAGAATAACTATTAATGAGATGGAGATGAACGGTTTACTCACCAGACAATAGACAACCAATTCTTCTGTCTGCCATGAGACGCTTCTGAACAGCTGTTTCAAATAACATCCTGATGTTCTTCTTAATATCGTCCCCTGTGAGTGTAAAGAGTACAATTGAACACTGTTGTGTGGTCTTATTTCGTCAATTATATATTTCTTATCCCAATATACTGAAAATTGAAATGGATGTGTTAAAATTTGAAATGGAAGTCTTCCATTTTTGAGAAACCCATGGGCAAGGGCACTGTGCTGACAAAATGTAAACATGAAAGAGTGAAACCACTATTTTCACAAGTTCCTTGTCCTTCAAAGGGACACAACTCTGTACTGCACATCTGAAACACATCTGTTATCCTGTTAAGTAGGGTGGCTAAACAGATTGATAATTGGAACTATCGGTGATGGCAAAAATGATTATCGATATAAATCTCGAGTCATTGATAATATCATACATAAGTTACTGTGATAAAGTAAAGTTTGAAATTTACTCGGAAAATACACAAAATTAGGTCTTTATTCATGGCCTGCTTCTAAATAACGCCCAGGGTGAAGTTTAACCCAAATGTAAACATCACTTACCAGTGATGTGAAATATGGCGATTTCTTTAGGATATTTTTGCATTATAACTCAGTTACTTCTCCAATAATTAAGAATACCGGGTAACTGATCGATATTCAGTTAACGATAATTGATCTTGATCTATATCGGTAGGTGAGATAAAATGGGGTTTAACGCGTACTTGAGAATAGTTTGTTCGTATGATGCCATGCATGTTTGTTTATCTGGGGCTGCTTGTGTTAGGCCAGATTTAAGCTGGGTTTATAGTGCTAGCTCACTGAGATACCATGCCACAGTTAAGCATGAATACCCCACTCAGACATATTATATTGACTCCGAGCCGACCAGTCATCAAGAACCCTTATTTTGATCAGCAAAAATATAATATGGTGACAATTGTCGAAATGGCTTTACCTAGTGAGTCAGTATCTACTGGTGTTTTGTACAGGGGCGCGTCACCAATAGAGTGATACTGTTTCGTCTCCCGTAACGTGGCTCGTCCGTTCTTGTCGAGATCGTACTGTTCCACTGTACCTGGTGTGAGGGGTATGATGTTGGCTTGCTCGTCAGTGAGGCTGTGACTCAAACCAAATAGACCTGTGCGGAAAGAAGCATGTTACATGTGATCGCTGTGTCTAGTGATGTTTTATCTCAAACTTCAAATTGATTGTGACCAAGTTGTTTATACATGTTCGTTCACTGAAGGGATGATGAAGGTTTTTGCCTGCACATCATACTTGAAACATTGTTTTTACAAAATAATGAAACGCCCTAGAATGGGTGTGCATTATACATAGTTTTGAAAACAAAACCTCTAACAAAATCTCTTGGGGCTATTTATTTGACAGAAAAGATCTCAGTAACTTAACACAGGAATCAACATGAGTGAGGATAACGTTTCTCAAGCTCACTGATAAAACATTGAAAGTAAAGATGTAGATGCATGGAAAATTTTGATTTAAGTCAAACCAAGACAGAAATTGACATCTTAGTTTGGGAGTCAGCATGAGTCATTTCCGCTGAAGCAATCTAGACTTGCCAAATGTTCTAGGCTGGGACTCCTACTTAACTTATTCCCTGTCTGAGAGACAAACTAGGGTATCAATATTTAGTGTGTATTACCTTGCAAAAGTCATATTGACCAGAACCGTTGTTGGACAACTATAATCTTTGCTGACTGAGATGTGCAAGTTTATCTCCTTTTGTTGTCAGTATTTTCATTCCGATCTAACGGGTCGTGTTACGTATCACACAGTTACTGACCTTTAGCCTCTGAGCACACAGCCAGGAAGCCAGTATCTGTGACAAGCTTGAAGCAGGGGCGGACTCCAAACGTGTCTCGACCAATGAAAACTTTCCTGTTGGCTGTGTCGAGAAGACAGAAGGCGAACACTCCATCCAGGTGGGCGGGGAAATCAATACCATATTTGGCATACAGGTGAATGATTGGTTCTCCGTCACAGTCTGTGCTTAGATGGAAGTCGTTTTCTTTTGCAACCTGCAAATGGACACATCCAGTGAATTATTTCTCTTGGTAAACAAAGCTTATTTTTGTCTCAAGCTTGAGTTTGGCTGAAGGGGTACTACAGATGTGTACCTCAGCCAAAATCAGAATACAGAAACATGCCAGTCTAGTCTGTATTGTGCCGTTTTCTTGATCGGAAGTGTTATACATTTGATGGCGTTATGTAAGAAACGAGCATACGATGAATGAATATTTTGCAATGCACAATACCACTTGCTGTCAGTGGGGTAGAATAGGTCTTCAGCAACCCACGCTTGCCACATAATACGATTATGCTTGTCGTAAGAGGCGACTAACGGGATCGGGTGGTCAGGCTCGCTGACCTGGTTGACACATGTCATCGGTTCCCAATTGTGCAGATCGATGCTCATGCTGTTGATCACTGGATTGTCTGGTACAGACTCGATTATTTACAGACAGATATAGCTGGAATATTGCTGAGTGCGGCGTAAAGCTAAACTCACTCATTCACTCACTTGCTGTCAGTTGAACAGGAACAACTACATATGGTTTCAGTTTTGGGATGAGGAATATGGACTCGTCCCCCGTCTAGCGTACCAGGTTTCTGTATTTTGATGTTTGATTAGGGTACATTTCTGTATACAGAAACGTACCTTGGGTACACATCGTTAGTACCTGTGCTGTCAACACCCCCTTCAGCTTGAGTTACTGCAGCAATTAGCAGCTATATCACTGCTGACAGAGCTTAATAGGGTCTATGTTATGCAACCCAGGGGCCATTTAAAAAGGCAACTAAAGCACCAAGTCATAAATATGTGTTTTAAACATGGAGTTACAATTGTGTAAGGGTGATAATTGCATTGAGGAATCAGGCCCAGAGCCTCATGCAGAGTGGTGTTCTACAAGTCTACCACTAGCAAGTAGTCATTTACTAGGTGATGCTATACATGGTGATGCTATACTAGGTGATGCAATACATGGTGATGTTTTACTAGGTGATGCTATACATGGTGATGGTATACATGATATTTTACAAGGTGATGCAATACATGATATTTTACTAGGTGATGCAATACATGGTGATGTTTGACTAGGTGATGCTATACATGGTGATGCTATACATGATGTTTTACTAGGTGATGCTATACATGATATTTTACTAGGTGATGCTATACATGGTGATGTTTTACAAAGTGATGTTATACATATTTTACTAGGTGATGCAATACATGGTGATGTTTGACTAGGTGATGCTATACATGGTGATGCTATACATGATGTTTTACTAGGTGATGCTATACATGATATTTTACTAGGTGATGTAATACATGGTGATGTTTGACTAGGTGATGCTATACATGGTGATGCTATACATGATGTTTTACTAGGTGATGCTATACATGGTGATGTTATACATGGTGACTCTTAACATGGTGATGCTATACATGGTGATGCTTAACATGATGTTTTACTAGGTGATGCTATACATGGTGATGTTTTACAAGGTGATGCTATACATGGTGATGCTTTACTAGGTGATGCTATACATGGTGATGCTTTACTAGGTGATGCTATACATGGTGATGCTTTACTAGGTGATGCTATACATGGTGATGCTTAACATAATTATGCCTCGAAATGTCACCTTTTCAAGGTTGATGTTCTACTGTGTGGTGTTAAACAGGACAATGTTCAAGAAGTTTGTCTTTTGATGGGTGATATTCTACAGGGTCTTCCTTTAATAGGTAGTACCATTCATGGTGATGCTTGAGAGGGTTGTCTTTTCATGGGTGATCCTCCAGAGGATCTTCCTTTATTTGGTGGTGCTATACAGTGAGGTGTTATACAGGGTGACGCTCTAGAGGGTTGTGCTTTAATGGGTGATGCTATACAGTGCAGTGTTATACAGGGTGACGCTCTAGGGGGTTGTGTTTTAATGGGTGATGCTCTAGATGGCCATCCTTCATTGGGTGATGCTATACAGTGCAGTGTTATACAGGGTGATGCTCCAGAGGGTCATCCTTAATTGGATGATGCTATACAGTGCTGTGTTATACAGGGTGATGCTCTAGAGAGTTGTGTTTTAATGGGTGATGCTATACAGAGTGGTGTTATACAGGGTGACGCTCTAGAGAGTTGTGTTTTAATGGGTGATGCTATACAGTGCTGTGTTATACAGGGTGATGCTCTAGAGGGTCGTGTTTTAATGGGTGATGCTATACAGAGCGGTGTTATACAGGGTGACGCTCTAGAGAGTTGTGTTTCAATGGGCGATGCTCTAGAGGGTTGTGTTTTAATGGGTGATGCTATACAGTGCAGTGTTATACAGTGTGACGCTCTAGAGGGTTGTGTTTTAATGGGTGATGCTAGTGGTGTTATACAGGGTTGTGCTTTTAATGGGTGATGCTATACAGTGGTGTTATACAGTGTGGTGCTCTAGAGGGTTGGGTTTTAATGGGTGATGCTATACAGTGTTTTAATGGGTGATGCTATAGAGAGTTGTGTTTTAATGGGTGATGCTATACAGAGTGGTGTTATACAGTGTGACGCTCTAGAGGGTTGGGTTTTAATGGGTGATGCTATACAGGGTCTTCCTTTATTGGGTGGGCTATACAGTGCAGTGTTATATAGGGTGATGCTCTAGGGGGTTGTCTTTTAATGGGTGATCCTCTAGAGGGTCTTCCTTGAATGGATGGTGCTATACACGTGGTGTTACACAGGGTGATGATCTGCAGGTTTGTCATTTAATGGGTGGTGCTATACAGAGTGGTGTTATACAGGGTGATGCTGTAGGGGGCTGTCTTTTAATGGGTGATCCTTTAGAGGGTCATCCTTAAATGGATGGTGCTATACAGTGAGGTGTTATACAGGGTGACGCTCTGGGGGGGTGCGTTTTAATGGGTGATGCTACAGAAGGTCTTCCTTGAATGGATGGTGCTATACAGCGTGGTGTTTTACAGGGTGACGCTCTAGAGAGTTGTGTTTTAATGGGTGATGCTACAGAGGGTGTTCTTTCACTGAATAATGGTTATGAGGGGGATATTATACAACGTGATATCAAACCGAGTGGTGCTACACATTGCGAGGACGGGTTTGTAAACAAACATGGCTGCCCCCATTATCAAAATTGGTGATTCTGAAAGAATTGATGACAGAGGTGCAGGAATCGTTACTGCAGTAATTGACTTTGGAAAACATGAAACGGAGAACTTCGTTCAAAGTGAAGGTATGAATTATATGGCATGAGTGACAGGCTATCGTCTAAGAAAGGTACCAACCAAAGATTTTGATCTATCAACCACAACAAAGAATTGATTCCGTCAGGTATCAGAAACTAATATTGATGAGGTGATTACCCACAATGAAAATAAAAACACTGCCAAGAAAACCCTGCCCAATTTTGTTGTTCTATTTAGACAGAAACATATTATTTTAGGCATGAGTTATGTTTGAACTGCATTAGCGACTAGTCACAAGCATATGCCGCTGTCATGAACGACCTTCACCTTGGTATACCGCTAAGTATTCTTACGCGAATGCTCGATTCTTTTTATATATAAATTCATGTACGATTTGCATATTTTTTAGAGTAATTTTAAGAATGACATTATATGATAAAGAGATTATTAACCGAGTGTGTTCCTGTATCATTAATATCATATATTAGGAATAAAAATTGTATTATGTGAGCTTTTGGCGCCAAAGGCTCGCATAATACAATTTTTATTCCTAATATATGATATTAATGATACGGGAACACACTCGGTTAATAATCTCTCTCTCTCTCAATCACATAGTGACGAGGAACACATACTGTTTTATAGTTGTAGATTTCCCCGTTGTATATCAGCCATATGTGAGGATGAGTGTACAATCTCATTGGCTGCATCCCTCTGACATCATCAACGATGGCCAATCGGTGGAAGCCGAGACAGCAGTTCTGGAAATGGTTGATATTTTCTATCCTGAAGGCGTCAGGTCCTCGATGGGTGATCTTGTGAACAGCATTACACTGCACACGGAAACATCTTCATCACTACCAAACACAGCCCAGATCCCACACATGGCGTCGGCTGGAATAAAAATGCGATATTTCATTAATTTTATTTCTTAAATTAATTTCTTGGTTCCGGAAAATACTTGAAAATACTCTGGCCTCGAACAAGATGCTTGCTGATCATGACTGATGTTCTGGAAATGCTGAAACAAATGCACACTTAAAAAAAATCAACAGTGAGTGCGTGAGTTTAGTTTTACGCCACTTTTAGCAAAATTCCAGCAATATCACGGCGGGGAACACCAGAATGGGCTTCACACATTGTACCCATGCAGGGAATCGTACCCGGGTCTTCGGCGTTGACGAGCGAACGCTTTAACCACTAGGCTACCACACTTCCCCAAAAATCGATAATAATATGGTTGGTACAAATATAACGCTGCATCTTGCAGTTTCAGGATGCACCAGTGAAGTTCTAAATGCTTAAAACTCTGGTTTTAGTCACCTCTTATGTCCAGCATATGTTGCCTAGGACCTGTTAGTCTGTCTCCCAGTCTCCCAGAATAATTATAAATAAGAAACCAACTCAAGTCCAGAATAATTTGGCAAGTCTAGATTGCTTCAGCACAATGATCCATTCGGATTTTAGACCCGGAAAGTTCTGGGTTAGAATTGGTCTTCAGCAACCCATGCTTGTAGTAGGAGGCAATGAATGGGATCTGCTAGTCAGGCTCGTTGACTTGGTTTAACACATGTCATCATATCCCAATTGTGTAGATTGACACTCATGCTGTTGATGACTGGAATGTCTGGTCCAGACTCAGTTACTTATAGACCGCTGCCATATAGCTGGAATATTGCTGAGTGCGGTGTTTAACAACAAACAAACCAACATTTCATTTGATTTTTTCATGATAAGATGTAGATTTTAATTCAGATAAATTTATTTCTTGGACTAAATATAAGTCTCAAGTCCCAATCCTCCTAAGAATATATACTGGTTTGGCAAGATGTACGAACTTGGCTCAGGCAAAACAAAAATATGTCTATTTCTGGTAACCCGACCCTATCCTAACTCCCAGACCCTAAATCTTTTTTAACCAAGTCAAAATCATGACTGGAGTGCATTTCAGCTCATCATTTGCATCCAAATCAAGTTTTATATTTTTATGCTTTTCAGTGTAGGGCTAACATGGATTGCATTGAATTGGCATAATGGGGTCTCACTGACATCTCACTGATGATTTGATATACAAATCTTTCAATGTTTCATCACAACGCATTGTCACTACATGATATGGTACTCTTGAAGACCATCTCGGGTGCCCACCAGGTGCTACTAACCATTAAAAAAAAGTAAAACAAAAAGAAGATAAAACCGACCCACCTACCCTTTTTTTAAAAAGCATGTAATAGGAAACGGACATATAGTTTGGGGGGGCCTTATTGTTTTACGCAACCTTTCAGTCCCACTGGTTATGAAATGAATGATGTGAATGTATCACTATATTTGGGCATTAATAAACATTCATGTGACATATTTAGTTTTCACATTCACTGTCTTTTGACAAGTGTTTTTATTATTCAAATAATTACATTATTGTGAATGACATATTAACAAACATGACCAGAACTATACAAATCAAACGTCAAAAATATACAAAACAAATGTCATAAAGAGCCTTGTGTTTTAATTTTGAAATCAGTTTTCAGATTATGTGTGACAACGGCTTAGCGTATGAATATGAATAATTCCAGTCATATTAATGTATGGTGAGTGTGTTTCACAATGATTAATCCTATAAAAACATTGACTGCATACATATTTAATATGTGTGATTTTTACAACACAACATCAGCCCTGTTGACCATTAAAGACCTAATGAACCAAAACAAGGACCTAGTTTTCTGTTCACATCTGTTTTCAACCAAATATTCATAAATATATTGTTGTAGCGAGTGAGTGAGTTTAGTTTGATGCGTTTTTTAGCAATATTCCAGCAACATCTCGGCAAGGGAGACCAGAAATGTGCTTCACACATTGTAACCATGAGGGGAATAGAACCCGGTCTTCAGCATGATGAGCGAACGCTTTAACCAGTAGGCTACCCCACCGCCATTATACTTTTGTACTACCTGAGTCAGATTCTGCTATGGGTGGTTGAGTTTTAATTATACATGAGTATGTATGCATTGACATATGCATTCAACCTTGTGCATTCCATGCATAGTGTTTGGGCTGATGAAATGTCACACACTGTGACTCAGTAAGCGTGTCACGAGCATCACTACTCAAATGTTTGTACTTTGATGTAGGGATAGCCTTAAATTTTGGTTAAAGTGTTTGTTCTGCAAGCCGAAGACCCAGGTTCGATTCCAAATTCGGCTGCAATATGTGAAGCCCATTTCTGGTGTCCCCCGCCATGATATTGCTAGAATATTGGGGCTTAAAACCCTCTCTCAATGGGGCTTAAAACTCTCTCTCAATTGGGCTTAAAACTTGCTCTCTCTCCTAAAAGCTGACAGTTGAGAACACCAAAAAACAGATACCCCATGAAGAGGCGACTAACAGGACTGGGAGGTCAGGCTCGCTGACTTGGACGATTCGTGTCATTGTATCACAGCTGTGTCGATGCTCATCATATTGATCACTGGATTGTCTGGTCAATCTTGATTTTTTTACAGACTTGTCAAATAGCTGGAATATTGCTGTATCTGTGTTAAACAACAAACAAACACACGTTGCAGTTTGTCTTACTCCAATAATGTCACAGATGCAGGTAAATATCTGAGCCAGGAATTAACATAAATGGGCATCACCCCACACTATCGAGTATGGTGTAGACTAGCTCTTAGTCTCTGAAGATATATAATTTTGATAGAAACAAAAATTCCTTTTAAAATGGAAAGGAGACCCAGTGAGAAGGGAGATTCAGAACCTGAAGAAATCTAGACTTGCTTCATTTGGGGCTTTTGCATTGCAGAAACGGCTGGGCGGAAGGGGAAATAATGTGGTTCAGGGACTGTGAGATAGTCTAGGTATGGTGATGCAAAGACGTATATACGTGTTTGGGTGATGCAATAACATGAGCTGACCCATATGTCAAACAGCAGTGGTTGTTAGGGACCTTATATCCAGAATTCCATCGGTCTTGTTTCTTGTAATTGTGTATAAACTGGATAAAACTGTAAATCCTAGCTACTTATCACAGATCTGATGAAACACCGACATATGAATCCTTTATGGCCGAAGCGACAAGCGAATGAGTGCAAGTGAACAGAGGTACTTGGCAGCGCGTTATATCGAGGTTCCCTCATTTGTAAGTACCACAGGGGCTTGTATTGCTGAAAATAATACGTCCTGGGTCCTACAAGCGTACACTGATATATGGATATCAATGTACGCTTGTAGGACCCAGGACGTATTATTTTCAGCAATACAAGCCCATGTGGTAAGTACAACATGGCGGCATGTTCTTACAGCTGATGTACACGTTACCGGTGCACAGCGATCGTCGTGTGTCGCTCTTATCTAGCTTACCATGACATCCGAAATACCGGTACTGACTTACACGTTTACTCATTGATATATCTTTAATACATTTTAATATTTCCCATATTTTGTCTAATTTCGACGCTGCATGTTATGGCGTGCCCAGCCGGCGAAGGACGGCCTGCACGCGATGATCTGTTCATTCAGATCTTCGCGCTTTTCAGTACCGTTGTAATACAAACGAAAGCCATGTTCAGCTATTTCCATGCTGTGGTTGTAACAGAATTTGGCACGTTTAACTTACAGTGTCGCAGGAAACAAACGAAAGAAATCGCGATTTCTTACCTTAGATTAAATATTTCTTCGAGTATATTGATCTGATTGCGGAGAACGGTTGAATGCTTCTGAAGCAACAGCGAGAGTGCGCGGAGTCTCGAACGGGTTCTGTCACAATGTAAGCTGGTACTCGCGGATTATCTCCCTATATGTACATTCAGGCTGATGCAATCGTGACGTGATGATGCAATCTTGGTGTCGTGCAAGTCATTAACCCTATTGAAAGGGGCCCACTGAAAGTGACATTCTCATGAATGTAAACCGGTTTTTGGTTCACCAAATAATATGAACTGCAACCGGCGTTCGTACTGGTCAGCTAAACGATCGGATTAGTGAGTAGTGTTTTACGCTGCTTGTGGCAATATTCAAGCAGGCTTTTCGAACAGGTTAAGGGAGGGGGGTTGTCTTGGTAACTCTTTAATTTAGACTGACACATATCTGAGTACACAGCTGGTAAAGGTAAATGAGACCTCCCTTTAGAATGTCGTTTTTTTTCACGCAGAAAAATTAAGCTTAATATATTTCCACATTGCAAGGAAGGCGGAAGACTTCAACCTTGGTATTGCCCATGCATCCACCTACTACATAAACATATCACTGCGCCAAGCGTGCTGCAGTGGGGTATCCCAGAATACTTTCCGGCAGATTAATATATATGACGCCAAGTCGAGGAAATGCACTCTGCCCTCAGTCTTGCTTCATTTCGGGTCTCATCATTGCAGAAAAAGTGGAAAGGAAAATTATGCGGTTCAGGGACTGTTAGCCGAGAGCCGCGATGCGGTCCTATACAGTCCGTGATGCAGGGTCATGTCTTGACTGTATAGGACCGCATCGCGGCTCTCGGCTAGACTGGACCGCATCGCGGCTCTCGGCTAGGGGACTGGAAGACGGGCCAGTGTAAGGACTGAAGTGAACCCTAGCTCCAAACAATCAAACTCATGTATGGCTTGTCATAAAATAGCTCGCCTAGGACATATACCCGCATTTCAAAATTAGTTTCAGAATGTTTTTGTTTTCATATCTTTTAGTCTGGGAATGACAACACGGTGCTATCAGTATCAAGCAACACTACAGTAACAAGCACGCTGTTTATGTTACAGTGTATTTCATTGGTTGGTATTTATAGATCAAGGGTTCCCGTGTTCAGCTTGGGGATTTCTTGTACTTTTAGCATTTTTAAAGCATAAAGTTATAGGCTCAGAAATGAACATATTTTACAGAAAACAAAAGCTCATAGTA